CTCTCTTCAACCATCCATTTATTTATTTATATTTATTTTATATTTATCTCTCATCCCTATTTACTCTACTCACTGTGCATGTTGTTTGGTTGTTTGGAACAATAAACAATTCACTTCTCATTTCTTCATATTCATTCTGACAGTACATAAGGAGGTATAAATTATCTCCTAAAAACTAGCCTATAAAAAAAATACTATAATTGATACAATCACTTTAATTGATACTACTCCATGAATAAGACCTATAATTAAGCAATTAGAAATCTTTACAAATAAACATAAACATATATCTATACACTTCCCTCAACTTGGTGCATAGATGTCTATCATGCCCAAGTTGCCTAAGAACTTTGAAAATATTCGATGAGGCACGGCTTTAGTAAGGATATCTGCTAATTGATCTTTTGATCGAACCTTCGGAAGTACTATAGCTTTTTCATCCAATTTCTTTTTGATAAAGAACCTGTCTATCTCAACGTGTTTTGTACGATCATGTTGTACTGGGTTGTGAGCGATATCACGAGCTGCTTTATTGTCACAATATAATTGAATTGGTTCTGTTGTGGAGTAGCCAAGATCCTGTAATAGTAGTTTCAACCACAGTGTTTCACAAATTCCTAAAGCCATTCTCTATATTCAGCCTCTGCACTTGATCGCGAAACAACATTTTGTTTTTTACTTCTCCACGTTGTTTGTCCCATTTTTGTTGTATTTTTCGTTGTCTTTTTGTCTTTCTTTTTCCCCCATATTGAGTCTTTTCTTTGGGTTTTATTCTTTTTTGTAGTTTATTGTGTGTTTTGATCTATTTCAGTTTTTTTTCTTGTGTTTCTGTGTGTTTTTCCATTTCTTTGTTTATGGTGTGTAGGTCTGAAGCTTCAAGAGGACATAATTTTGGGCAAAATCTTGTTGTGCAAGCATAATTAAATAGAGGAGTTCGTTGGCAACACACAGGAAAAAGCGGAATCGAATTCCGAGTCCAAACGAACCCGAACGAGCCCAAACAGTGAAATCGTGCAAAGCTGCCCAGGCCATAGCGCCGCTATGGACATAGCGCCGCTATGGCCCCAGATAGCGGCGTTACATAGCAAAGCGATGAGCAGAGGCTCGAGCATTTCATCCCAAAGCGCCGCTATGGTCGTAGCGGCGCTATGACCCCCTGCAAGTCCCAGAATAGTATAAAAAGCCCCAAAACTCGTTTTTTCTCCATTCTTTTCACTTTCAGCTTGAAGGGGGAGGAACCCTAGGTCCAAAAATCTCCTCCCCCTTCACTTTCCTTCATATTCTTCTTCTCTTCTCTTTTCTTTTCTCCATTTTTCTTCTTCTTTTCATTATTATCAAGGGTTTAGCTTGTATTTTGAATTCAACTGGAACTTGGATTGATTGTAAGTATTCATTTCTCTTATTTGATTCATGAATAATGATTATTTGAGAGGATTGATCATGATTGTTGAATTTAATATTCGTAGCTAAATCCGATTGCTAGGGATAGGGGATGATTGTTTTGTTTGAATTGTACTTGTCGGACTTCGATTCGTTCATACTTACGTGAGTTGTTTTAATTAGGAATTGATATATTCTTGCTTGATTGATTGATATAATCGAAGAGTGACACTTCGATCTTGCAATTGGTAACAATTGAATGTTGATTAGTTGAGTTAGGGTTTTGTTGATTTTATGTGATTAGTTGGTTAATACCTTTCTAATCGAATTAGCGACTTTTTGAACCGAAAGGGGAGAAGTCGTAGACTTAGGCTCACATGAGGTAGAAGATGTCGTAATTGACTAATCTACGTGTTTTAGATTGAAATACGCACTTGTCAATGACCCGTCTCTTGTTACGAAAAGTTATTGAGATTAGGATAATTGGCCTATGTCGTATGCTCGAACTTGTTCGTCCATGTTCAATCCCTTGTTACGAAGAGTTATTGGGAGCGAACCGCTAGATGTCTAAGCGAGAGTGTCAATCTTGAACCGAACAATTGATTGCCCGGTTTTGCTAGAACTTGAATTAATCATCCCCGATTCCCTAGCTTCTTTTTCATTGTTTCGTTTATCTTCTTAGGTAGGTTATTGCTTTTTATTATTTCTTAGTTGATAATTATTCATCCATCCTTATTCGATTAGAGTGTTTAGGTTTGTTCTCTTTTTATGTGTTATCGATATCAGAACTAAATTCCGAATAGCCTTCCTCGTGAGATCGACCTGGGGAACGAATCTTTAGATTCGGTACTCGGTAAAAAGAATAATTTGTACACAACACACGTGACAAGATTCCCACCTACAAATGTGAAGTACCCTTAAGTTGATCGTCTATCATCAAGGGCTCATGCCTAGTCAGCATCAGTAATATAAAAAGAGGAAGAAAAAAATAATTATAAATTAAAGAGGAGGATAAACAATACTTAATATTTATAAATTAACGGTTCACGGTCAAACAATGTAAACTTATTTTGTATAATAGAATATACAATTTGCATTATTTTGTATAAAAGAATCTAAAATTTGTATGTTTAATATTAAAACACTTAAAATATTATATTAGTATATGTAAAAGTATTCAAAGTTTTTTATATTATTTTTGAAAGCACCTACAACTTTTCTAAACAATTTTAGAAAGAAAAGATATCTAAAAACATTTGAATTTAACATTGTGTAAAAAAGATTTTTCTAGACTATTTTGTAAAGAAAACATGTCTACAAATATTTAAATTTAACATCAATTATGTATATGTGTGTGTGTGTATATGTATATATAGACGAACACGTAAAAAAAAGTCTAAATAATTTGTTTAAAGTATTTAAAATATTATAAGTGCAATTTAATAAAGACATTCAGATGATACCGAATTTATGGCGTTACTCCCATTTAACAAAATTTGATTACACACAATTTCAAAATTATTATTATACTTTTTACGTTGTTATCGAGGATGTATTGTCAGTTTATAATATTTGTAAAAATATTAGTAATTAGACCCATGAAAATTAGCAGCGTCGTTCTATCAGATAAATGATGTGATTTTTTAAATTGCGATACCTAATGAGATTTTGTAACAGATGAGAGATAAACTCGTGTAGATAAATGCTATGGATAAACTTTGTATAGATTGGAATTGGAAATGATTTTAAAGGTAGAAAGATCAATTTCAAATGCACGGATTAGAAGGAAAACATATATAATAATATTTGAATTTAACAAGAAAAAAACAAATATCTACACATTAAATCAGATGTAATGTTTCGAAATTACTGCCTAAAAAGAGTTTAAATGAAAAGAGAAACAAATCAACACAATATCTATTATTTGTTAACCTAAAAAATAGGAAAAAGGGAAACATCAAAAAAACCATTGCATCTATTATTTTGTTAGCCTAAAAATAGGAAAAAATGAAACATCACAAAAACCAGCACCGGTTCTTTTTTTTTTTTTTTNNNTTTTTTTTTTGTTAACACTATATCACTATTTATTTAATGATTTTGGAGGAAAAGCATAAAAAGGGTATTCATTTAATGATTTTGGCGGGAAATCATAAAAAGGTTATTTTTTTTATATAATGATAGATTTCGATAGTGTGAATCATTCATTACCATAATCTCTCCCAAATCTATATGCAAGTTTCATCTTCTCGGCGGGCCGAACTCCGGACTCTCGTTGACCCTCCGACCATCGAACTTGACCAACGCCGAGATTTATTCGTTGCAGTCGTCGAGAAACCCTACTCCAAGGGGATCGAGCTTTAACCACATGAATTTCTATTCGATGTAGGATTGTTGTTATGGGAGCACCGGTTACAACGAGAAGGGTGGCTATGCGAACTAGGCTTTAACCCATCGAAGCAGACGTCGACATCCTTCGGCAGAGGCGGCGTCGAATCGAAGGGTGAATCCGTTGTTGTTCACGACGGCGTTGCTGCTGTCACTGATATCCAGAAAAAGATGAAGCGCGCGGAGCGGTTCAGCATGTCGGAGCAGATCATGACGGAGAAGGAAAAGTGCAGTTCCCAATTTGTGCGCGTCGTCACGAAGGAGTGTAGTAAACATATGAACAAATTATACGTTAGTTATACATAATTTATATACTGTATTGTTTTTTGGAGTACGCAAAGTTGTTGGTTGAACTTTGTAAATGTCATGTAAAGTATCATGTGTTGTTTATCTTATGTATAACTAATTCGATTTGGATTTTACAGTCATTCAGAATTGTGTATTATGTTTTATCCGTTTTATTGTTGTTTATATGTTGTTATTCTTATGTATAACTTACAGTTAATATTAGAAAATTGTCATATCGTGTTTATTTGATGTATATATATAATAAATCTTAACACATATACAGTTGATCGAGGTGTTTTTTTTTTCGCACTGCACGAGCTCGATAAACGGTCCCGTTTCAAAATTTTGAAATCGTGGTTACTTCGCTTAAAAATTTGAATTTTACTACAACTAGCAACTTTTCAAACTTTTTTGAAAAAATGGGGTTTGATTTGTAATTTGAATTTCAAATCCATTCAAACGTTTAAAAGAAAATATCATAAGCAAAATTTTTTAGACGCATTCTATTTTATCTTAATTAACATATAATTACATTCCTAATAAACATTAAATTTGCTTATATATCTTTAAATTAATTACATCAATAAATAATATTAATATTCATGAAATATATATCATTATATAAAAAATATTACTTCTATAAATGTTATAAATAATAATAACATTATACGACAACAAATTTTTGAATAAAATAATATTTAAGTATTATGAAGAACCAAAATATGTAAAATTATTATTTTTACGATATTAAAAAATAAACATATATGTTAAAATATTATTTATATTAATACAAACAGGCCAGCGGGCTAATATATTGTTAAAATAAAATTTTGAATAAATGTTCAAAGGTACGTAACTCTGGTGCATCGCATGGGATTTGACTAGCTTTGATAATGCTCATAACCATGAACGGAATACATTTGTCTAGAGATGTTAAATGATCCTTGGCCCGACGGACCGACCCGTTTAGCCCGAAAAAAACAGGGTTAGGTCCTTTTATTAGTAGCCCATTTAAATCAGGGCCTTTTAGGCCTGAACCGTTTAGCCCGAAGCCCGCTAGGGCTAGCCTGAAACCCGCTAGGGCTAGCCCGTTTAACTAGGGTTACACGGTGTAAATGTTTGCATCAAGTAAGTAATATGCTCTTAAATTACTTGTATATCACAATTTTGGTATTCCACTTCACATGTAAGTATGAGTTGTAATGGATTATTATGATTTTGAAAGATAATTATTAATAATATTGTTATTGTACTTCTTACGAAAATATTTAAGTCAATCAGAACGACTAATAAGAAACGCATAAAACATAATGATAGACGGTAAATACTAAATAGCCGTTGAAAACAAATTTTAACTACCCATTTTTATTTTTTATTTTTTATATATTTTTTACTCTTTTTATTTTTGATTTTTTTATATTATTATTATTATTATTATTATTATTATTATTATTATATCCCGCATAGCCCGTTAAGCCCGAAGCCCGTTAGGGTTAGGGTTAGGTCCCTTTTTTGGTAGCCCGTTTAAATCCAGGCTTTTTAGGCCCGAACCGTTTAACCCAAAGCCCGCTTGGGCTAGCCCGTTTAACATCTCTACATTTGTCACAAGCTTTAACACAATGAGTTTCAAGAAATGTCCAATCAAGGGAAAAGAGAAAAACTGAAAAAATGGGTTATACGAGAATGTCGGACACTCGGACCCAAACCAAACAGAGTTTGTCATAATAGCATATTTGTTGGCAATCACAGTAGATTAATAAACATGGTCACTCAATATTTATTTATTTCATGTATTTCTGCAGAAATTTCCGATGGAAATCATTTCTGATTGTGTCGTTGATAAACCTCTTGGGTGTTTTCGCTTCCCCACGAGCTTGGTTCTTGAAGACCACATCATCATCCCACCTGGAAGAAGAAAAAAAACAAGGAAAATAATAAAACAAACAAGGAAAAGAAAAAGGAAAGCGTTGGACAATTTGTCGACATAGAAAGAAAACAAAGGATTTTTGCAGAAACGACCAAAATAGCACAAACAAAAATGACGCATCATAATTACCTTCTCTTCACACTGAAGGAAGTTGGATTATTCAAAAGCGGATTTCCAAGCAGCAATTGTTCTTCCTTAGCTTTGAGCTCCTCTTCTTGCCTTTGCCGCTCCTAGCAGATAAGGTAATCAATTGAGACTTCCATGTTGTATTACAGTTTGAAATAATAAGCAAGTCCAGCTAGATTTTCACATGCACAAGTAGGATCATATATCATTGACAAATAAGCATCATGTGTCTGTTTGATACTGCAAATATGAGTCGTCTTTAATTTTGCAGTAGGCTGATGCAATCAGGAAAGAGAGATAAAAAAAAAAAGGGTCCGTAATCTATTTCTAGGACAATATTAACCTTAGGCACTTCCACCATCGTTCTTTAGTATGTTGTGCTAAGTTAAGAAAAGAGGCTAACAAGTTCATTTTTAAATTTTGTAAACCTCAAAGGCAATTTATCCACGCGTTTTCATCACACGTGAGCATGCGTACCAGATCTACAGAAAATATAATTCACTGAGAGATTCAGATCATGCCAATAAAAGTTCCTAAAATTTGGCTTTGAACAGCATAATTTTATGGCTTTTTTTAGCAGAGAAATGAGGTTATTGCTGGAACTATTCGAATCTTGATCCCAAAATCATCAGCTGAAACCTAATTATTTTAATTGAACAACTCTTCCAAATAGACAGATATAGCTAAAACAATATGCTGGTGGCGAACTCTCGTCCTATACATCCACCAATGAGTTTTCAGAGAAATCAATTATTTTCGAAAAACTTCAGCATGCTTGATTGTTCAATACCAGAAACAAGGCAATGCATAACTCACCTCTCGTTCTTTCTGCTCGGCTTTCTCTTTCCTTAATCGCTCAAGCTCAGCTAAAAGTGCTTCTTCATCATCCCCATCATCGTCTTCATCATCATCACTGATGATACATAATTAAAGCAAATGAATCAAGTCATCAACCAAACCACAAAGAGGGAACCAAGAGGCAAGTAACACCACATGGAGTAAAATAGAAGGAATTCCTAAGTCGTGAGGAGGTGATCAGAAAAGCATATATCAGATTTAAAAGAGAGAGCATGCCACCAGCATATCTGAAGAGCACTAAAATACAAATCACAAGCCAGAATAGTCACAAACCTGTCGTCAGCCTGAGCATCCACATCAGCATCATCAGCATCTACACTTCGTGGAATAATACGGTCTTCGACTTCCTTCCTAGGCCCTACAGAAACCGAGATCCATACTTAATACCACTTTGAACATGTAGATAAAGAAAATTCTCCTGCTACCACATTCAAAAAAACATGAATAAAGAGACACCATTGATTTACCTTCTAAAAGAAGATGGCCTCCCTTCCGACGTTCTCTGTCCTCTGCAACTCGTTATGAACCCCAAATCAATCAAAGAGCCCTTGAACAAGAAACTATGCGGGTGTCGGGGGAGGGAGAATGGCCAAAGCTTATTAATTTCATAGAACACATACCTTTTGAATAGAAATGCCTCCTCTCCCTGTCTTCCAATTCGTCCCTGAGATTCCTCTTCTGCAGCTCATCTTGGGTATCTTGACCTTCCTTCCTGAGACATCAAGATAAAAATACACTTAATTTACCATGAAAACAGAGGTAAACAATGAGGATAAGATCAAGAAAAACTCATGGTGCATTTGCCGTATCACTATCTTCATTTAAACAACCGATTAACATATTTTTTCCTGAAAAGAAAAGCTGTAGCTTAAGAACTGTAACATGCCCAGTGTGAAGTTTTAAGACAAATAGGTAAAAAGCTAGGACAAAAATCTACGAATACAATCCGATTAAACAACGACAACGAATCTAACAAACGTTTGACAAAATTCAACAAAGCGCCATAAAAAGACCTGGGCTTTAAGGTGGTGTGTGACGCGATGTCCCTGGAAGAATACTTTTGAGATGGACCGAATATTCGAGTTCCGCCTTGTTCGTTCCCACCTTTCGCCGGTGCCCAGGTAGGTCTAGCTGCGGTCGTCATATCGGAACCCTAGATGCAACAAACTCGATATCTGCAATCAATTAGATGATTATAAGTAAGATCAAAACCCTAACAAATCGATATTATCCTGCCGAATTTCAGAGCAAAAATTAAATTTATCAAATCAGCGACTGGGATTTGGGTGCAAGATTTGGGTTTCTTTGACCACAAAAATTTAAGAGGGATCTTCAAGGACGAACGAAAGAGGGACTCCGGCGGCTAAAAAAAAGAAATATATTAATAATAATAAGGGAAATGGGTCACAAACACCCTTAGAACATCTCCAATGTCACTTTTGACAATATAAAAATTCATCCATATCATCAACTTTTGAAAGTGTGTTATTAATTTGTTCTCCAATGCATCTTGTCATGAGCTCTTTCATGATGAGATGAATAGCATTTAATGTTGACAATGTTGAGTACACTTTCTAATATCTAACATCATGTTAAACATGGTGTCTAATTAATTCACTTTATATTTGATTTAATTTTTTTATTGTTCTTGTATTAATGATTATTTTTATTGGTCCACCTATGCAAATAACTTCTTATCAAATTGATGTATTGGAGATACCAATTTGATTCAAATTTATACTCTTTTAACATTATTCCTACATGGATTAACATTACAATCATTGATTGACATGTGTTCAAAATCATTGGCTTTCAAAGCCATAGCATTGGAGATGCTCTTAGGGTCCGATTGGTTGGAAAGGGTTGATTAGGCTTGATATAATATTTTTGATTGTATCAAAGGCTATCAAATAATTCAACTACCCCATTAACTTGTTTGGTTGGGGTTAATAATTATTAACTTTTGAACTAAGATTATATTTTTACCCTTAATTTACAATCAAATTTTCAAATATTGCCCTAATTTTCTCCCCATATTTCGAGACCTTCACCCTCACTCAGGATAAGATTTTCAAATCCACTGTTCTCAAGTCCATCAAACAGGACCTTGTGAACAGTGTTTAAAAAACCGTACCGTACCGGCCGGTAATACCGGTTACCGGCCTTAGGTACGGTACAAAAACACACAAAATACCGGATTTTCGGTAATACCGTTTTGAACCGGTATTGTACCGTAAATACCGGGAAAAACCGGTCCAAAATACCGGCCATGAAAAAAAAAATTAAAAAAAAAAATAAAAAATATTTTTTTTTTAATTTAAAAACATAAAATTTAAATTGGTAGTTAGAATGTTTTATTTTATTTCATTGGTAAGTTAAAATTAATGATTATGATCATTTATTTTTTATTTTTTTTTGTATTTGGTATTATATATTTTTATAAATAAATATATATATTATTATATTTGCTAGTCCGGTAATACCACCGATATTACCGGTCGTACCGGTAATACCGCGTACCGGTGGGTAGACCGGTATGGCCACCGGTACGGTATTTAAAACACTGCTTGTGAAGACCACCAACAACAAGTTTATAAACAAAAGTACATAAATGAACACCAGAAAACAACCTTTCCTTAACAAGCCACCACAATCAAGAATGGCCTCAACCACCTCCGCAATCCCATTTACTGAAAAATCACTTTCATACTTTTTGAACAATAGTCCAAAAACCTTCTATTTACTTCTATTGTTCCACACGAACAGCTATAAACACAACCCTCTTTGCTTTTAGTTTTCAAAATAATAATAATAATAATAATAATAATAATAATAATAACAATAATAATAAACATTTTCCAGACAACATTTTCCTTCCTTAGTTTAGTCGGCGACACCCGGGCAGGTGGCGCCCAATTTTGGGTTCAGCGAATAGAAGCAGGCATGGCAGGGGCTTTCAATTTTCTTTCGGCTTTATTTATCTATTTACTTATTTTGACAGCAAAGGTCGGATGGAAGGAACTAGCGGGGCGGTGGATCTGGCGGAGGGGAATTAGATGAGATGGTATTGGTGGCGGTGGTCGCCGCCGTGGTGGTGGTCGCCGCCGTGGGAGAGCTTGACGATGTGAAATCAATTTTATACCATTTCTTCGATCAGAAAAATCAATTTTTTGAGAAAAAATCTGAAACAAAAAATTGGGTATTTGTGTAATTTTCAATGAAAAATGAGATGGAAACCACATCCTAGCTTTTAGGTGGGATATGGTATAAAGAAAAAGTGGGATAGAAAACCGGGCCATGCCACATTTCAAGAGCTTCACTTGTTTCAACCAAACAACATAATGAGAGTGATATAGTACGAAAGTGTGTGATATCCCTCCTTATCACCCCAACCAATCACACCCTTAATGTTTGCTATAAGGTACATATGTGTTCAAGAAGTTTCTTCAGGTACAAATATACTATTAAAGTTAACCAATAATGATGTTTACATTCTTTCTAATAGGGAAAAGAACTCTATTAACTCCTCATTAACGTACTAGTGTGTATCCCGTGCGATGCACGAATGACTTTTTACTTAAAACTTTTTCTAAGACTTTATATTAAACATAGTTATTATGTTTAACATCTCATTATTGTAAGAAAAGAAATATCAAATATGAAAAATTATATATTATTTATTTGAATATAATGGGTATCCTCAACTAAACTAATAACATCAAACATTATATATATAATAAAATTAATTATATGATCATCATAATTTTAGGAAAAAAAAAATCATTAATTAAGTTGAACTACCCAAATATAAAAATAATTTATGATATTTGTTGACCTAAAAATCCGCTCAAGCGTTGGATGGACGACACGTGGACGACGAGAAAGTAAAGAGGCCTGGCCGAGGAGTGCAGAGAAAATGCTACCCGACCTGCGAAAGCCGACCTTGTCTGGGAGCCGACCTCTAGAACGAAATAACCTCGGGCGCAGGCCGACGTCAGAGTCGACAGGCGGCATTTAATGCTTGTCCATCGACTGCTTAAAGCCCATGTGGAGACATCATTGCGTGAAGGGGGCCCACTGACAAAAAGGCTGCGCAAACGTCATTCCGCATTAAATGCCGCCGAATCTCCTCAAAAGAAGAGCCCCCAGTTACTATAAATAGCAGCAATAAAGGCAATACGAGGATCTTTTTTCCCGACACATAAATTCTGCATTAATCACCTCGGCTATCGCCAGTTTTAGCATTATTGTACAATAAAAAACCGACCTCAAGTCCTCGAAAAACCGACTTGATATTTTCTTAGATAATCCCCAGTTATTCAATAAAATCGCCTCATTACGGTATTAATCTAAAAATACAAATATAAAAAGTTGATCAAATCCGTTTATCAAC